ACCGCAAACAGCCCCAGCCTCGGAACGCGCGCTGTGCTCTGCGTGTCCCTGCGCTTGCCAAGGGCTCGCTCATGGATAGCGCACTAAATATAGTAAAACACAGAGGTTTTTCTTATTTTGCTTTGATCAGTAAAATAAACTTTCAAAGATTGTTCTGGGATGAGATCCAGCTTCTGAGGCAAAGAATGGCCGTGGTTCAGCCGCGCTTTAGTAATGGAGTGTCAGGAAAGCGGCTCTGACAGTTCTCAGGCCAGCGGCTCCGGAGGAAGAACGGGCCGAGCTGCAGTGGGCCGAGACTCCAGCGGGAGCAGCAACAGCGGGTGCTTTGTAGCAGCCGGAGCGCCGAGGCTGGACGGGCAGGATTCCTTCCCTAGGGGCCCTCAAACCCCACCTCGGACACGGCCCCGCGTGGTGTGGGACAGCCCAGCACTGAGAGAGAAATTGGACGTTTGCGGGGGGACGAAAGATGGGGACCTGAGTCTGTTTGGGCATAGACTATTTTTTTTTCTAAGTTTTTTTCTCCTTTCTTGTTTTTCCTTCAGTATTTTAACTTATTTTCATATATTTTGGTTACCATGCTCTTGAAAACATCTTTCTGTCTTGCAGAACATGATGTAAGTTCCTTAAAGGCTGTTCTAAGGATGGAAATGTCACAGTTACAGAAATTTGCTCTCTCTCCTATGGAACAGGGTCATCCAGTTCTGCTCATCCAGTTTTAAAAAGCATGTGGCAAAATCAGGCAGTGGGGACAGAGATGCAAGAAGAGGTTGGAAATATTTGGGTAGGAGATGACTAAGACGGATGTAACAAGTGTTCTCAAGGACGTAAATTTGGGGCTCTTAGCCCGTTTTGTCTTGCAGGGAACAAAGGGAATGGGAAGGCCGTGCAGGGCGAGGGATGTGGATCCGGGAGGAGGAGGAGGGCTCGGCTCCCGCAGGGCACCGTGCCGGGCTGCAGCAGCGCGGGCGTCCCGCGGGAGCTGCGGATGTGCGGGGGGAACGCGGCCTCAGGGTGCCCCGTGCCCCTCGGGCGTCACGGCTGCCGCGCTCCCCTGCAGTGGCACCGACGTGGCCCTGCCCTGCAGTGACCCTGCCCTGCAGTGACACTGTGCTCTGCTGCTCCAGCTGCCGCCCCAGGACCCTGCGCCGCGGGCGCAGCCGCGTCCCCGCCGGGCTCCGGGGTGCCTGGCGGCTCCAGGGCGGCGCCC